TATGATATATTAATACCTGGACTCTGTGCTCTTTCCCAAGTCTCTCAGCTCTCAAGGAGCTCTTTTGTTTATAGCACTTAATAAATATTCGTGAAAATGGTCCCAACATTTCTTTACCATCTTCTCTTTAAACTGGGCCAGCTGTGCCCCCAAACCCTCTAGGGTCCCAGGTGTCCTTTCCCTGACTGATCGCATGCTCCCCAGGTCCAAGAGAGGATTTGTCTCCAGTGGGTTGGGTGGTAGATGCCCTGCAGAGTCTCAGGCAGCTAAAGGTCAGGTGTGTGAGGCCTTGGGCTCACTGGTCTCCGAGGCGACGGCTGTCTGTGCCTCACCGGGGTCTCTGCCTTCAACCCATGCCCCCTGCTCTCCCATTTCAGGCCCTGGACCTTTCTCTATTTGTAAAGAAGCACTTTTAAGAATGCTGACACTCAGCAAATAGATGGAAACATTAATTCTTTTCTCTCTTCTCAACAGACACGAGACGATTTCCTGGGACAGGTGGACATACCCCTTAGTCATCTCCCGGTAAGAACGGTCACCTGCTTCACAGCGTGTGCTCTGAGCAGCAGTTTCTAACTGTCTGCAGTTTGGGTGTATTTTCAGAGCAGCATTTCCTCAACACAGTGGAGAAGCGTGTATACCCTGGCCCTGGCCCTTTCTGGAAGGTGGTCCTTTCAAGGGGATAGGAGATAGCTTAACTGTAAAACTCAGGTGCATCTGAGCCATCCACGGATGCCTGGCAGCGTCACTGGCTGCTTTCTCTTCTGCTCCTTAGTTTGTCTTCCTTTGTCACATCATATAAAACAGCTACCTGCTTCTGTCAAACCCCTCCTCCTTGTCACTGGAATGTCCCTGCTTTCAAGTTCACCTCTTGGGTCTAATCAAACGTCTGTTCCCTTTGTCTGGAATGGTACCTGCTGTTTCTCTTGGGCCACATCTATACAAGCTAGTGTTTCCATGGCCTTTCTCAGTCGGCACAGAGACAAAAGAAAAGATGCTATTGGTACTGAGTGAACTTGTCAGCCGGAAACGCCCACTCTGGCTTCAGAAGTTGTACTGGGTTAGCACGTGTGGCATTGCTACCATTCCTCTCCACTCAGACGAGCAGCAAAACAGTTGGGGCTGTTGACATTAACTGAGCTTAAAGGTGACTCTCGCACGTTCCAGTATCGATAGGATGGGGGTCCAAGACCTCCTTGGTGAGAGGTAGATGGTCTCGTGTTCCACCTCCCGGCCCTCCTTCCCCGGGGCAGCACAGAGTGCCTAAAGTAGCACCTGAGAGAGGATAAGTCAAACATTTCTGCCTTCCAAGGGCATTTTATTATGTTTTTAAACGCTTCACATGAGCAAATAGTATAAGTAGTCTATACACTAAAAGGACTCAAACCACCTAGTGTGAGCCTCCTGCTGTGTTGAAACCAGCTATGGCTGTCAAAGACCAAGAAAGACTGTGTCTCACCCAGGAAGCTGTGAAGCTCTGTTGGGAAGGAACATGATGGCAAGCACTGTGTTCTTGCTTACTCAGGGGAGCTGTTAAGGAAGAAAGGTTTCAAGCGCCTTCCCTTCCAAAAGATCGGAAGCAAAAGTAATATCATTAGAATATTTTTGTTTGTTTCTGTATAAAAACCTGAAGCTCCAAGGTGCTTGTGGAAGGTGGGCTTATGCTTGATGGCATAAGCCATCAGAACCCTGACTGTTCTTTTAAAGTCACATTGATAGCGTACAGATATCTCAGCCTTTGTGCAGAAAGACTGTTCACGTATTTCTACATCAGTGGGTCTTCTCTTCACGCTGTTCAGGTTGGAGCTGTAACCGCCTCACATTTTTCGGCAGTGTTGGTTGGTTGGCCAGCCAACCAACTTTCATGGGTGTCCCCAACCTCCCTTTTCCCCAACACAAAAACCACATCACAGTCAAGGCAAATTATGTATTAACTCTAAGAGGTGTAGGTGAAATTTTTAAACAACTTGCCCCAACAATCCCTGAAGTGATTGAGTGCAGATTGGTTTTGAAAGGTTGCGTGGAACTCCCAGAGAATAGAAGAGTCTTCCTCTTCAGAGACCACATCAGTAGAGGGAACATTTTACCTTTGGATTTCGGTGGAGGCAAGAGTGAGCTTTCAAAGAAGGAAGCGGTGCCAAGGCTCCAGGCTGGAATAGAAGCCAGCCGGTTAAAGAGTGGAAGAGGGAGGGCTTCCCCGGTGGCGCAGTGGTTGAGAGTCCGCCTGCCGATGCAGGGGACGCGGGTTCGTGCCCCGGTCCGGGAAGATCCCACATGCCGAGGAGCGGCTGGGCCCGTGAGCCATGGCCGCTGAGCCTGCGCGTCCGGAGCCTGTGTTCCGCAACGGGAGAGGCCGCAACAGTGAGAGGCCCGCGCACTGCAAAAAAAAAAAACAAAAAAAAAAGAGTGGAAGAGGGAGAGACCAGAGAGGACTGAGGACTTTCACAGGAGCTGAGCCAGTTGAGAAGTGGAGCCTCCCAGTTTTCAACCTGTCCCAAGATGAGCTTACACTGGAGTGCTATATCTCCTCCTTAAAATTGACTGGCTTTGTGGAGCCCACTACAGTCTCCAAGATGGACCACAAAGGGAGCAGAAGGAGAGGTGAAGGTGCATTCTTTATCCTCTTAGTGGTAGGAGAACCCAACCGGCATATTCTGAGTGGATTATGGCTTTGGTCCCAAGATTTGAGGTGCTCTCATATGTATATTTGATCATATGTGTAGGACACTCATGGGAAAATAGCACAGTTAATTTTGTATGATAACACAAGTGTGGGCATGTAAAATGGATGTTAGCTTTTGAATATATTTTGTGGATAAATAATGGATGCTCTTTTCTTGATAGCTATATGACCACCGTCAAGGCAGTTTATATATACATGGCTGTGTGGCCTGTGGATTCAGTGTTGTTTGATGTCATCGAACTTTAGATTAAAGAACTTAGGTCTTACTAATAATGAGAGAAGGTAGTGGAGAGCAGTCATGTGGTGGTGAAGTTGCTGTTTGCCACCCTTCCCAGCCTTCTCAAGGTTTAACAAATCAGACTGGGTATTTGGTTATTAATTAATTCTTTACAGCCCCATTAGCTGATAGAGAATTTATTCCTTTAACAGATGTTTGCTGCTAGGCATAATTCTACTCTCTGATGAAGAATCAGTGAAGCAGGTTCCTCACTCATGTGGCTTTAGCAAGGCCACCATCACAGTAGCCACATGTGGTAGTCAAGCATTTGAAATGTAGCTAATGTGACTGAAGAACGGAATTTATCTATTTTATTTCATTCTAATTAATTAAAATTTATCTATTCTAATTAATTAAAATTTATATTTAAAAAGCCACACGTGGCAAATGACACCCTATTACATGGCTCAGGTGAGATCAGACCAGAGTTCTGTGGCTTAGGTGAAAAATACATGATTCTGGATGCCCTTTTCCTAAGAAAATAATTCTGGCTGTTGGAGGGAACTGGGGGTGGAGGGATTCCCACACCAAGTTTTACGTGGTGATTTTTCATTCAGCTTTTTTCCCCTACCTGAGGCTGTTTCTCTATAGTTCTACATGTTTAATATACCAAGGATATTTAACTTAGGTAGAGAAAAGGCCCAGAGATTTGGAATCATAGAAATTAAGGTAAAGAAGAGAAGTAATCTTTTGTTACTATTTTTAAAATCTGTATTAGCAAAATACCTAATTGCATACACTTCCATCTTGACATATATACACACTTATTTACTACGAGGCATTTTAAGCTTTATCCTGTTGCCCCAAGATAGCATCAACCCTTCTTGCTTTAGAAAAGAATCATCTCTGCCTTGATTCTGCTCTAAGAAGTTGCAGCATTTGAATGAGCTCTTTTCTAAACTGGGAACTTGATGGGGAAGATTCAAGACCACAAAACTGAAGTTAATGTAACCTCTCGCGATTGTTAGGAAGTTATCTCTCATCATTTAAATGCCCTACTTTGTGGGTTTTTGATGTGCTTTTTGAAAAACATAGTTTAGCCTTAGTAACTGATGTTCGCTAAAGGACATTCTTCCCTTGCTGCAGTCCCAGAGGCCTCTGGGTGCAGCTGCTGGTGGAAAGTGGCATTTGCAGTATAAAACCATGCCTTTAAATTCTTAGGAATGGCTCTCCTAAGCTGTCCTTACTTGCAGCTATAAATTCCCTGATTCCCGAGAAGCCTACCAGGAAGAGCCAGAGGGTCAGGGCACTTGAACACCTCAGACTGGGGCACCACGGGTCCTTCTCGGCCCACTGCGTACTGTTGGGTCTCTGGACAACTGTGTGCCCTTGTGAGCATTGGGACAGTCCGGGTTGGAGTTCTGCCGGGGAGATGAGTGAAGGAGGCCACTTGAAACAGAGGGACGGGGCTGGGAGGGTTGTGTGAAGCTGGGGTGTGCTCTGCGTGTTAGGGCCTCACTTACCTCGATTACCGAGGAGGCCAGTGTTGGCTAGGTTTTTGTCCCTTAAACAGGAAAAAGTAAAGAGTGATAATGAGAAAGAAAAGAAACTTCTTTTTCCCCCTTCGATCATGGATTCCTCGGTGCTTTATCAGATGCTTCCAGATGAAAGAAAATAATTTTGACTTGTCATTCACTTTCATTCTTGGCTCTCAGACCAGTTCTCCCCGTTTTATCTGTGGAAGAAAAAGGATAGGAAATTGGACCCAAAGAACTTAGAATGGTAGGGATCTATTTCCTTTGCTTCTATTCCAAATATGCCACCCGTCTTTAATATTTTTTTCCATTTTGTTTATTATTGAGTGTGGATGGGAGTGAGTAAAAGACGAGGAGGGTGACCTTTTATGCAGATCTGAGAATTAAGAAAACATAGATTCATATTCACGGAAGTCTCCAAATGTCAAGCTTTAAAAGATCTCTCAGGAATAGTTGACTCCGAGCTTGGAGATGGGCAGGTTGCCTTGGTAACCTTAATAAGTTAGCAATCCTTTTTGGGCCTCTGTTTTTCTTACCTATGAAATGAGGGCATACACATAGATGATACCAAGTTTCCATCCAGCTCTGTGAAAGAGCACCTTGGCTATAAGCAGAGGCACGGCGACTGTGGTGACATACGTTATTACCTGGGAGACTTGGGCAGGGTGACGAGCTGGAGGCACGTGGAGGAGAGAGGAGGTGGGGACTGTATTTTAAGCAAGGTAGTCCCACCAGCCTGACGTCTGTAGTGCAGCTCAAACTGAGCTCCTCTATTTTATTCTTCTACAGTGTGGCACCAGAAGTGAACTTAGCTGTAACTGTCCTGTTCTTGTAGCATTTTCTTTTCCTATTTCAGGATCTACTCTGTTTTTGGCCGTGCCACGCAGCACGCAGGATCTTAGTTCCCCGACCAGGGATCAGACCTGTGCCCCTGCAGTGGAAGCGTGGAGTCCTAACCACTGGACCACCAGGGAAGTCCCTGTAACTCTCCTATTCTTACTGACTTTTTTTAAAGAATGCTATCATTTTTTCATCTGTCTGTTAAATCCTGTGTCATTGCCCAGAAGTTCATACAGGATTTTATGACTTGTCTTTAATAATTACTTAGAGACAAAAATAACTCCAAGGCTTGTATTAACAACAGAATGACATTTCTGGTGGGTGTTTGCCTTTTACGCCTCGGAAACTTTCCTTGCCTCGTCCGTCAGTTGCATCTCCCCTGCCCTTTGAGTCCCAGTGCATACCCCTACCAGATGCAAAATCTCTGTATCTATGGGAAACACGCTGGGGTTGAGAGAGCTATTTTAAAAACATTAATTTCTCCTATTTTAGTCAAGTGCCACTCAAGGCAACCAGGGTTAACTTGAATTTCAGTTTTCCTACAGTGAGACATTTTTGGGGTGGTGGTGATATTATTTGGCACCTTAATTGTGCTTGAAGGTAACTCAGATGATGAACACCCCTTTTATAATTCCAGCTGGTACCAGGGTAATGGTTCCCTCTCACGTGTACAGAATTCAGTATCATAGACCTTAGAGGGACTTTAAAGACCATTTATCCACTCCCTGTATATTACAGGTGAGGACACCTGGGCCCAGAGAGGGAGTTGACTTGCCCAGTGATCAGAAGACCGATCAGACCTTGGGTCTTCAGCCCTGATCTGTGGTGCAGTCAAGGGCCGAGGGGGCAGGGGGGCTCAGTCTAAGGCCTGGGTGCTTTTAGCTGTTGCATCCCTGTTTTGAGTCTAAGGTCCTGATAAGGCCATTCCCTTCCGCTTGCCCACAAAGTTATTTACCTCATTACATATATGTCAAAGTAACTGCAGTTCTGTTGAAAGCAACAAATCTTTTTAAGATGAAATTGCTGTGTAACCAGAAGATTTTCTTTTGAATGCTCACAGGACATTCAAAAGGGACAGGGGGTTGCAGCATCTATTTTGGCCGATAATACTGTTAGCATCAACCTGTTTGAGATGGCTTTCTACCATATCAGTGCTGTCCTGGGAGTCTCCCCTGGGCTTTTCTCCAGGGAATAGGATCCAGCAGGAGCCTGAGTGGTGCCAGGAAGAATCCTGTTGTTATCTGCAAGATAACAGTCTTGTTCACACTGGAGAATGTCCATGGAGGTGGATTTTCATTTTTTAACGCCCTGCCTTTTTGCAGAGTGTTGGGTTGGCAGTGCTCACAAGTGACATGAAAATGTAGAATTGGCTGATGATGACAATGGCCAACATTTGTTAAGTTGCCAGGAACCCTTGTGAGAACTCGCTGTGTATTGATACCAGCTCAGATGATTGGTTTAATCGTCACAACTCTGTAAGATCCTGTTACTGCCCTACTCTGTAGCTGAGGGCACTGAGGCACAGAGAGCTAAGGAATTTGTCCTTGGCCACATGGCTCTTAGGTAACAAAGCCAAGACACAGACCTAGGACGTCTGCCTCCTGATGTGTGTGGTGTCTGTCATTTAAACTACGTAGTGTATGGACAGTTCCATTTTTAGAGTCCCGGTAAGTTCTCTGATTTTTTTTTTTTTGTCTGAATTTAGAAAAAAGTCTAGAGAATATAACTGACTTTCTTGAGTGATGGTGAATTTTTGTGGCCTCGGTACTTTACTGTAGATCAGGTGGGTTAATCAGCTACTTGTACAGGTACACTTTGTGTCAGGCAGTGCTCTTGGCACTAAGAATACAGCGGCAAGCAAATCCAAGTCTCTGATCTCATGAGGTTATATTCTACAGGTGATGGATGTTAATAAACTAGTTAATACATAAATGAGCAAGATAATTTCAGATGGTGAAAAGGGGGTATAAATCAGGATGTTGTGACAGAGGATAATAAAGGGAGGCTATGGTGGCGATTTAGGATATGGTGTCTGAAGATGTGACTTGGGATCCCAGACCTGGATGACAAAGTGGAGACCGCTGTGGCCATCTGGAGCCAGAGCTGTTCAGTAGAAGGACCTGCTAGAGCAGGATTGGATGTGATGTGCACGCGGGACAGAGGAGGTCAGGACGGGTAGAGTATAGGGTCAGTGGAGAGACTGGTTCACAGTGAGGTTATAGGTAATTAAGAACCACATCAGGGCTTCCGGGGTGGCACAGTGGTTGAGAGTCCGCCTGCCAATGCAGGGGACACGGGTTCGTGCCCCGGTCCGGGAAGATCCCACATGCCGCGGAGCAGCTGGGCCCGTGAGCCATGGCCACTGAGCCTGCGCGTCCGGAGCCTGTGTTCCGCAACGGGAGAGGCCACGACAGTGAGAGGCCCGTGTACCGCAAAAAAAAAAAAAAGAAAGGAAAAAAAAAAAAGAACCACGTCATGTTTAACCTTATAGGTCCATAGGAAAGAATTTTCAGCATATTATATAAGCAGAGTAGGAAGCCATCACGAGTTTAAAGCAGAGAGTGACATAAACAGATAATGTTACAAATATAAATGCATATATATACACATATACCCTTCTGATACATAATAAATCATTTTGTGGTTTGTCTCGCTACAGAAGTAAATGTTTTTAATTGTGTTTAATTAAAGAGTCTAGGTATTTGAAGTTTTACTGCACATAGTATTTTTAAATTAATGAAATAGTAACATTTATTTTTCCAGTTGCCTGCTTGCTTTGACCATCTGATTTTGCACAATAAAATACTGATTTCTTTCAAAAATGAATAAATACCACCACTACATTCATAGCTTCTTGAAATAAGCACCAGCAAAAGGCTGATGGATGACGCCACCTAGGACAGTCTCTGTGGAGGAAACCGTCTTTCAGATGACATATTTTAAAAAGTAAAGTAAATTTGCATTCACAGTTTGATCTTGCATGTTTTCCTATTAACTGCATTTTTAGGTTTCTTGAATCACAGGGACAAGCAGGCAGGCACCAGTGACCCCTGGTTCTCCAGAGTTAATCAGCAGCGTGAGACTGAGCCCTGCACCCAGCAGTTAGAAATTACACTTGGCAATGACGACTACAATTCTGTAATTTGTCTCAGGCTGAGGTTGGCTCCTAAAAATGGGTGTTGATAGTGACATCTAGTGGATCTTGAGTAAAGCTTTGTGACCTATGAAATGTGTAATTAATTGTCAACTACTGGGTAAGGAACCAACTCTGTTTTCGCCAGGCTCACGTTCTAAAACCTGCAAATGTATTCTCTGTAATCCACTTGGGTGTATCTGAAGTACAAAACTATCAGGAGTATTGAAACTTACTTTTTCTTCCTTTAGACAGAAGATCCAACAATGGAGCGACCGTACACATTTAAGGATTTTCTCCTCCGACCAAGAAGGTGAGGCTTCAGGCCGCTGCCGTTTCTTATGCTTTGGCTCTTGGTTTTCTCTGAGGAGAATTCCAACTTCTTTTCCTATTGCACTTTTTTTTAAAGCATCATAAATATGAGCCATCATAAAGATGTAACCAAGTCACATCCTTTATAACCAATTTTCTTCCATCATGCAGTCATAAATCTCGAGTTAAGGGATTTTTGCGATTGAAAATGGCCTATATGCCCAAAAACGGAGGTCAAGATGAAGAAAACAGCGAGCAGAGGGATGAGATGGAGGTAAGCTACAGGGCTTCGGACCTTGGTCTGTTTTCCTTGCCTAAGAACATATTGATGTTTCACTTTAAGACTTCATAATTTAAGGAAATGAAAGTTGATCAAGCTTAAATATGAAGAAACTTCAATGTGTCCATGAATCTACGTCTTTGACAGATCTACTGATGTGTTGGTTTATAGCAAAAAAGATAAACTTTTCATTTCATGTTATAACACTAATAAATTGAAGAGGGGTCTCTTTCTAAACTGCTATACCCCTGTTTTATTAACAGCCCACCTCCATGTGAAATTCCCCCCACATATTTAATTCTCTTATTTCTTTGGGCTTGCAGCTCTTTGTAAATTCCTTTTAGCACTTGGAATTGCTTCAAGTGGCTAAAATAATTTAGGGACTCATCCAGGTTTCTTACTCATTTGGCCCACAGGTGAGAGCATGCATGAGGTAGAAATGCCGCTTTGGAATTAGCTTTCCAGAGGAATTTTCTTTTGTTCCCTCCTGGCAAGGCCACCTTTTAACTCTCCAGCCACGTACCTCTACCATGGGTACCTTCTCAGCTCAGGCTTCGGATGGTGCTGTTTTGCTAGACAAATTCTCATATTGTTCAGAAAATGTCCGTTTACAAGACCTCTCTGTGGCTTATTTGTACATCTGTTTGCAGCTGTTGCATATACATGATGTGTGAATAATGCATTATGGGCAAGTTAACGGAACCCCCCTCAGTCCCAGAGGTCATATTACCAGGCAGTGTTTCATGTGCAAGCTTTCATGTCTCTCTGTGAGAAGGACTGAAGTGGGTGGTAGGCAGTCTTGAATGTTAAGATTTCATAAGCACATCCACAGATTTTTATCTCAAATCCAAGGAATTTTGTTTTTCACACTCTTCCAACCTTCCAACTGTTATAATCACTGAGTTACTTAATTTTCCAGTGACTTTACTAGGGAATGTCAGGAAGGAATACTTAATGCCAAAAATATGTGTTGCAAAAAAAGCACCTCTGACTCTGATACCAGGAAGCCTGTTGATGCGGCGGCAGCAGGTGGGGAATGGCTGAATAGGAAGCGGCAGCTTCCAGGCTGCTCCTGGCTGCCTGGCTGCTCGTCCTCCCTGCAGCCCAGGAGCTTCCCCTCCTCCTGGAGCCGCCTCCATGCTGTCCTCCCTGGGGAGCAAGAGCGCCCCGGGCCTCCTGATGCCCAGGCAGGCCACGGATTCTGCGAGAACACACATGCTGCAGGGCTCATCTTCCCAGCTCCCTCTTACCTTACGGAGGTGTTGAAAAGGTGACAGCTGTAGCGTGACCCGTATTATCGGCAAGGCTTTGTACGGCCCCAGAGGCCTTCAGGTCAAAATAACAAACACGAAATATGAAAAGAGTGTAATGTGACTTAGGTAACGTGACAGCCTGTGCAGATCCCCATCCGAGTGGCACCCTGCAGTGTCGTCTTCTTAGAGGGCAGCGCAGTTCATTGGCCATGGCTCAGAATATTTTTGAGACGCTCCTAGAATTGATTTTTTTTTTTTTTTTTCGCCCTTTTTTGGGAATTTCTTTAAATGTGGCGCAGGAAGCCACCGTCAGAGCCGGAGAGCACAGGAGCGAGGGCGAAGGGCACAGACGTACTGTAGCCATCAAAGCAGCCTCACCATCTCCCCTCTGATTGTGCTCCACAGCCCGGCTGGGAAGTTGTTGACTCAAATGACTCGGCGTCTCAGCACCAGGAGGAACTTCCCCCCCCTCCCCTGCCCCCCGGGTGGGAAGAAAAGGTGGACAACTTGGGTCGCACTTACTATGTCAACCACAACAACCGGACCACCCAGTGGCACCGACCCAGCCTAATGTGAGTACCGTAGATGGTCAGGAACATGTCCCCACGCTCTGCAGTCAGGTGCACACGTGGCAGCGCTTTGGGACGAGGTTGGGAAGTACATCTTGTACCGGTGAAAGCACGTGGCTGTGCAGCACAACAGGATTCCTCTTCGTGGAATTAAAGAGCGTGGGAGCCTGAGTTTGTAAAGAAGCTCTTGCCTTCGTATCAGGTTCTCCTGTTGTAAACATGTGCTAATCTATTTTGTAGGACTTCTTTATGTAGATTCGTGAGATGTAAAGCAGGGGTTATTTTTCCTTGGTTTATCTTACGTTTGGTGATTACATCACTTTCCCCTTCCTCAGCTTCCTCTCCTGGCTAACCCATCATGGAAAATAGCAAACATACTGGCTCTAACTTTTCTGGATTTTTATTCCATAATTATTTGATTTGGAAACTCTCTCAAAATTTTTCTTTTCCTTTTGGAAAATGTATAGATCACCCCCTTGATATACTTACAAGCACATGGGAGGGTTGCTAACTCAGAATTGGTAATTACGGTTTGTTCTAATCCCTTGCTAGCCTCAGGGATACAGTGAATTGATTACTGTTTTGTTCACTCGACAATTTTTGGTCTAATGATGGCAAATAAACACTGGTTAAACCTCAACTACTATAAAAAAAGGATTTGAAGCAGCTTATTTTTTGAATGATAGTATACAGCAAGACCTAAAACTATTAATATACAATAAAAGGCAAAAACAAAATATTAAAAACAGAAAAGGAAAAAATTGCCCTAGAAATCATGACCTCCCTAGAAGTCAAGATAAGGAGGTAATTACCACTAACTTGTATAATTTTCAGTATGAATAAAAGCAAGTATATGAGGTGAGATAATTTTCTCTTTAACCCAGACTCTGAAGGAAATTTGCTAATGATGGTTTTTAGCAGGTATTAGCAATGGGACGGATGGTGTTGTCAGTAACCCTTTTATCTTTAGAAATTGCAAAGATGACCTGCATAGGTAGGAAAGGTGGCCAAGAAGTATAGTCTAGATTTTGTTTGGTTTAGAGAAAAAGCAGAATCTGCAGCAGTGAATAGCCAATCCTTCCTAAGCCCCTACGTGGGTTCTCGTGAATATCAGCCGTCCTTGGTCAGCTTTGGGCCACACGGTGTGTGCATCAGTTCATTGTTCCCAGGACAGCATAAATATCCCAACATCCAGATGATGCTGAACTGTTTTTTGTTGTAATTTTTTCCCATAGAAATATAAATGGAAATGGTTTAATTGATTCCTTTAATTATTTATTTATTTATTTATTTATTTATTACTATTTCCCTTTGATTAATGACCATAGCCGTTAAAACTGTTGTAAGCCATTTGACTACTCTAGTTATTTGTAGTTTAAAAAAAAAAAAGTAACCGCCTTAGGCTTGGTTACGTGTAGTGATCAGAAGAATCTTGGTAGCAGTACCCTAAGCAAAGTACCTTTATCTACCTTTGCTAAAGGTCATAGGAAAGGAATACCTGAAAGCAGCACTCTCTGGGGACCAGAGTGTCATGACCTCTGTAGAAAAGTGACTACTAGCAGCTCTCAAAGAAAGACTGATGGCCAGTACATATATAGAAAAATGTTCACTTTCATTAATAAATAATTATGCAACCGAAGTCTGTATTTAGGAGATAACTGGGGACAATTGCTACTTTCTCTGCGTCACAGAGTTGTGAAACTCTAATGAGGGAATTTATACAAGCTCTCACTTGTATAAATGCTGGCTCATCAGTAGGGAAACTGTGGTTCTTCCAAGTTCATGTTCACCTGTAGTTTAGGGAGAAATCAGTGGCATGATGGTCCACATTAGTGAGGCAGCTGAGCCAGGAAGGACGTCTGCAGAGCTCCGGGTGGGACCTGCCAGGTACCTCCTTTCCACCAAGCATGACTTCTAGAAAGCAAGAGAAAAGTTAGATGAGGAAAAAGATTCGGTTTTCACAATAACCTCCTCATCCCGTCTGTACTGTTTGAGAATTTGGGGTTGTTTTTCCTTAACTGTATTTGGCTTGACCAGAAGCCCTCAAGCCCTCCAGGTTATTTTAATGTGTTGTTTTAATTCAAAAATGATTTTTTGCGTAACTCAGTTTTCACAGAATACTGCAAGTTTGGGTTGGGGGGGGTGAATGGATGTTAAGAAGGGTCTTTATGGGCTTCCCTGGTGGCACAGTGGTTGAGAGTCCGCCTGCCGGTGCAGGGGACACGGGTTTGTGACCCGGTCCGGGAAGATCCCACATGCCGCCGAGCGGCTGGGCCTGTGAGCCATGGCCGCTGAGCCTGCGCGTCCGGAGCCTGTGCTCTGCGACGGGAGAGGCCACAGCAGTGAGTGGCCCGTGTACCGCAAAAAAAAAAGGGTCTTTATTAAAAGGCTATATCTGAGGAAGTCAGATGAGAAGTGATGATCAATCACACGCTGCGCAGAGAATTAAGACTGTCGTGGAGACTGTCATTTCTTACCTGGTTTGCTACAGACTTGCGCTCCAGACTTCAGCCCCTGAAAAGTCCTCACTGACATCCCGTTGCCCTCAGGCTGTTCTTACAGGGTCCTCCTCACCCTGCCTCTTGCCAGCCACAGTCAGAAACGTAGAGCGGTCTGATCACGCATAGCTGCATTCTGATTACTTTCTCTTCTTCTTGGCCCCATGGATGTGCTAACCCCCAATCCTCCCCCCACCAAAAAAATATAAAGCCAGAACGTGCCCCTTCCCCTGGTAACCTTCCGATGTCACCCTACTATCCCTACCTCTGGGAGCACCGGACGTCTTCTGTCCCGGTCTCTCTGAGAGCCCTGTGCCTCCCTGTCAGGACACAGAGCACATAATACTCTTACTGCCTGTATGAGCAGGGACTGTGGTTTCCTATGCACAGATCAAGCCCTAGCACCTGGCACAAGGTAGGAGCTTTTAATTGAACGAATAACTACAGATGAGTCACTTCTGAAAGTGGGTACAGGCACGTGGTTTAGTGAACTGTCCAGGCCTGGATGCAGAGCTTTCAGACGGAAGGCGGGCGGCCACAGAACACTCCCCAGCCCTCTCAGGTCAGACAGTGGCCTTTAAAATGCCTCTAATTTTAGAATAGTCCTTATCCTATTTAAATGTAAACTGTAAACATTTTACTGTTAAAAGCACAAGTTTAAAATCATGAAGGAATTGCATTAAGGCTATAGATGAACTTGTTAGACTCAAAACACTTTAACTCTTTTCAGTACTTCTCTCTCTAGAACACTTAGGCAGTCTCCCATCTTAGCAGTAATTTAATCATATCTTAATGACTCTGGTCATCATTAGTCACTGATGTATATGAATGTAAATGATCAGACACACTGATCTTAATTGGCACTGAATTTGATAAATTTATGGGTTTTCTTCTCTTTATTAATTTGTATATTTCCCATGAAAGTCAAATGAAGAATATGTATGTGAGATTAATGACTGAAGAAAATTGAAATAGCCACTTCTTAAATTTTTTCCCTGCCCCCAATAAAATCATGTTTCTGTTTTAATTTGCCAGCTCAGACATATTTTTAAATGTTCATCTTCCTATTAGTGACCATTTAAACTTCCTGTCAGTTTCAACAGCCCTCTCGTTCAATTGCTTATTTAAGGGCAAAAGGCCTCCCTTGTATGAACATTTTCATTTTATCACTAAAGACCATAAAAAAGCCCAGGGTTGGAATTTCAGAATCAGAGATATCTTTCTTCTTTATGCTATTTAGTTGTTTCTGGTTCACACTGATTACTAATTATTCAAGCATGTTGGATAAGGAGGATTAGCATAATTGATTTTAAATGCCCCTTTTAAAAAAAATAAGTCCTTCCAGAATAATGGAATTTTTATATACTTCTGAGAGATAGAAAATGCAAACATAGCAATATTAAAGCCTTATTCTTTTCAACCTCTCCGAAATCCCTGTAACAATTCAAGTGTGTGTTATAACCCGGAGCACACATTCGGTATTGACTAAGTGACACCTGACATTTCAAGTGAAGATTTAAAATTTTGATGAAACTTTTATATATACAATATTTTTAAGTCAGGCTAGTCATTATAAAGTGAAATTGAATTGAATGTCCTATAAAAATCACGACAGCAGTATAAAATCACAAAGACAATATTATATTTTCTAACATATCCAAGAGAGTGTTATTTTTTATCATCCTGTTTTGGTGGTTTCAGAAATTGTGTTAGTATACTTGTGTGTCCCTTGATTTTAATTAGTTTCTCTATGGCCTTATGCGATTCTTTCTGAGGAGTCCTCTGCTTAACATACTATTTTTAGTCCAGTTATAGTTTAATACAACTATAAAATATGCAAAATGTATACTTCTGTTAGGTTTTAAAAATTTGTATATTGGGCAGTAAAACTTCATTCAGATCTTAATAACAAGAGTTTTTATTTTAATGTGGATTAAAGAAAGCTAACCTTCATACTGTCCCTTTACCAGTAAAGCTAAAAAATGTAAGGATTTTTGGTGGAAATATTCAGACTCTCTTGGAAACTGGAGTTAAAGAGTCACCTGTTTATTTGCAAACAGTGCTGCTTATTGCAGACTGTTCACTGTTACAGGGGCCCAGCATGTTCTTTGGGGGGAATATAGGAAAATAGTATAAGTTAGCTTGAGAGTCATTAGAATGTTTTAAAACCTATGTTTTAGGAAGAGTCTATAATGAGGGTCCTTGATTAATACTGGATTTCATTTAGTCTGAAATAATGTTTTCAAATATTTTGAAATATTAATTTGCAGCGTCTTTTTTTTTTTTTTTTTTTTTTTTGGTGTAGCGGGCCCTCCC